AGGGGTGCTATTGTATTGCTGAGTTTTTACAGATTGCCAATTAATTTCCATATATATCTTATTCTCTAGCATGTTAAGTTGTCAAATACAATATTTTTTCTGTATTATGGACAAATGTTCAAAACTGTCAAAGATGGCAGTAGCACTCAATCTCTAATTTCCAACTGTTTCCTAGGTAACAAAGATACAGCTGCAAAACTGCTGTGTCAAATGGAGAGAAACTAACAGCCAAACATTTGCACTTTTCTCCTATTTTGGAATTTGAATTAAGTAAATCATAGAACTAGTACTGTTTCAGAAATTACAAGGTATGGAACAGAAGACTGACGTTCTGATTCTAATGCACGTGTTTTACTTTTGGGTTTCTGTACATCTAAGATTTTACAGGAGGTGGCAGAAAACTTGTAAAAGAAATCACAGCAGTGGTTTTGTAAAACTTTTCTGGGTGCTGGAATCGCTCTTTTCCATGAATGAAACAAACAAAAAAGAGCAAGCAAAACAAATATTTACCACTATTGTTTTGTGGGACTTCAAAATTCAATGGCTTATTTGTACAGTAAACCCAGTTCAGAAATGAAGAAGCAAAAAAAAAATATCAGAAAACTGAATTAAATTATGAAGTTATGCTCAATAAAGAGATTGCTCTCACATATAGACGGAATTATATGCAACTTAATCTTTTCAACATTGAATGCTTTAGTGTTATTCAGGACTTCATATGTTATATAAATAATAAGATGATAAATGATAATTTGATAATGTTGACTGACATAGTCTAACTGATTTATTGGGGAGGAGCTTTAGGAATATATATCTTATGGATTTTCCTTCAGAACCGTAAACAGAACTAGAACTGTGATACGTTTTGTTTGTCTAAATGTAACAATGTAATTACGGAGATAAATCCCAAAATGTGTCAACAATCTGAAAGTCAGTTGTGGTGAGGTTCATTTTGTATCCTGATGAATCATCCTTTCTGGTTTTGTTGTATACCATCTTTGACTTTTGTAATACTGGGAGTAATACAAGTTGCAGAATGTTTCTTTCTCTGTTGCATTAAGCTTAAATTACTTTTTCTCACTTTCAGGGTTGGCATCTTTAATCCCTGTTTTGCCTCTTAGTGTGCCTTTCATGCAACTATTTTGTGGGTTATGCTGATTACACAAAGAGCAGCTCCCCAAGTTCTTTCCTATGCTGCTACTCCAGTCTAGGAGTGCTCCTCTATACATCAACAGAGCCTCATTCTTCTTAATTGAAACATCTACTGCAATTATGTCTTGAGTACTACATTAAAAGGTGGTCCTGACAATGAGATCAGAGGATGATTTTTTAAACAACTGTGGTGACAGTGTGTCGCTGTTTCGTTATGATCCCTTTTCCTGTCAGTTAGGTCCATTAATCATATTTGACTCGATATTCAGATCTGTGAAGCCTTTGGCACAAAAACCACGTTGATTCATCCATAAAGTGAAAATGTCTTAATGTAATAAACCTGTGTGCACCTGTTAGCATGGCTGCAATTAGCTCGGAGCATAAACTGAAGGTTGAATTGTCACCAGCCTAAAATTTGTTAGAATCCAGACTAAAAGATGGATGTTTAGATCTAAGCACAACAATTCCATTTTAACAGATTACTTTGACAAACAGAATGAAAAACATGGTAGTAATAGAGAAAATTAATGTAGTGACACTTCAAGGTAGAATTGCTACACATTGTTCAGCGTAAGATAGCTGCATTTATTTAAGAATATGTACTGTAAGTAGCAGTGAATACTTTCCTTTTCATTCCTTGTTAGTGTTTGCAAGCAGCAGCTACTTACATGTTTATTTTTATTTAAAATGGCAAGTATGTCACATGTTTTTTACTGCATATATTTCAAGAAGCTTGATAATCTCAAACAATGTCATAAGACTGGGGAACAGGTCAAGTGAGCAACTATCTGGCAGGTGGGGCGTATGCCCTGTTTACCCAGATCTGTTAGCTCTCCCAAGATTTTGAAATAGCTACGTGCCTGAAGAGCAGAAAACTTATTTGGTCTTTATTCATTATGAGCAGTCGCACACACACCAAATAAATAAATCAAAGCTGCTCCAAGGTGATATTCATTTTTATTCTTTCTATGTAAAATTTTTGTAAGATACTGTAGACAGTTGACACTGAGTTAAAATACATGATTATTGCTTCCAGAGCTACTCTTATATGCAAACTGCGTGATCGCATCCACAGACCTTGATGTCCTTTTCTGATAAAGTCATCAGAGAATACTGCTTCTGTATTACAGACAAGTGTGTCATGTGGATCAGACTAACAATTTAGAGAAGCAAAATAATATCTGTTTTACAAGATGTTTTAAAACATTTTTTAAAAGTAATTTTTCAAGAAGGTGATGGCAGTATTTTCATGAGGACTAGTTTTCAAATAAGTTAGGGAAGCGCTGAAAGGATCTGAGCTACAACTGATGATGCACACTATTAGGGCAGAGAAGGTATTTCTGAGTTGATCTGAGTGAAAAGGAACACATGAAGAGCAAATTACAGCTGTTATCTTATAGCCATGATCAAAGCAACCCTGTGAAGAACATTGGCTTTGCCACTGTTGTTGAACTGAAAATAATCATCTACTGAAAGTAGGTTAACAGAGTCATGAAATTGCTTTGTGAACTGTATTTACCTTGTTTGCAGCTGATTGAAAATCATAGAATGGTTTGGGTTGGAAGGGGCCTCTAAGATCATCTAGTGCCAATCCCCTTCTGTAAGCAGGGACGTCTCCCTCTAGACCATGTAGCTCACAGCACTATCCAGCCTGTAAAACTTTTTCCATTATCATGAAGTCTTCATAGATGCAAGAATCTGTATCCAATTCTTGATCATTCGTCTTCTAGTTGGGTTAGGGGAATGAGCATTCTTTTATAATTAATTTTCCTCTTTTTTTTTTTTTTTTTTTTTTTTTTTAAATAAGAGCTTTCACGACTTAATGAGATTCTCTAATGTATCTGATTTTATAAGGAAATAAACTGCTTTACTTTTGTTCCATATTGCTAAGGCAAAAATCTCTTTGCAAGCTTTAGAATAACAGACTGGGAACTGTCTGATCGAAAACAAATTACTGGGGCTAGGATCTAGACATAGTAACTAGGTATGACCAGTGTGTTATGTAACAAATAAGCAGGACTTATACTTTTGTGAAAAATGTGAACAGTGGTAAGACTGTAACCATGACATGTCATGTCATTTGTGGTGTTTGATTTCTGCTGCTCTGGAGAAAAATACGGAATTTGTCACTCTGAGGATATTACACCCAGAAGAGTTGTCTAGGGGAAACAAAGTGCTGCTTCCTTTCCTGGCTCAGTTATTTGGAGTTCACCCAGATGTATTAGTCTGCTCAAGTGCTGTCTTCCATCCCCATCACCTGGAGCTTGGATCCACTTGGATGACAAACTTTCCTCGCTACACATAGAGCATGACTACAGAATTCTTCTGTTTCCCTACTGAGTTTCCTGCATTATCTCTGAAAACCATCTACAGTCAGTTCTACAAATTGCATGTCCTCAGTCTCCATGCCTCTGGCAAATGAAGGACAAACATGCGAACACTGTATAGATAAGGCTGTTAAAAAGTTTAATAGTAAAAACAGTTTGGTTTTGTTTCCTGCTGTTGCAACATTTGGATTTGTCATGTATTTACTGCTTATTATTAGCTTTTAGAAATAAAGGATAACCTAGAGTGTTTTGAATTCTTAAAAATATTTTTTGTACCTGTACCGTTTAACTTCCATCATAGGAGGCCTCTCAGATCTGAATTTCCCTGTAAGGTTACAAGAAGCATGTATGAACTTGATCTCTCTCTACCTTATCAAATGATGGTAGGGGTTCATAGCAACGCAATGATGTTACGTTCACTGAAGTGGTAATCTCCAATTTAAAAGAAGAGTGAATTTTTAGGCAACTTCTGTGAGATAAACGTTTGTCCTCCTTTACACTAGTCTTTTCTGAAAAGAATAATTAGAACACAGCTTTCTTTGGTAATCAACACAGCATATTTCTGTCATGTTAGAGATAGCAAATAGTAGCTAAGTGTCATTTTTTTATTTTTATTTTTTTTGCAACACGTACATGGTGACTGTATTTTACTGGTCCACATTTACATATCTGATCTTTATGAAGCTTATCTCAATGAAAAACAAAACAAAACAAAAAGCCAGAACTCCTAAATAGTTTATCTATTCAATTTAAAATATAAAGCATCTGATATAACAGTATACCAGAAGTAAATTACGTTGTATTTCAAAATAGCAGCTGTAATCACTGACTGTAATCATTGTGTGCAGGACATTTGTTGTTCCACTTCATAGAAAGTTGTTCCACTTCATAGAAAGACTCAATAATGAAAAAATTGAAGTAGATCTTATCCTAGACATCATTTCTTTTCTTCTTGTGAATTCAAATTCTCTTTTTCACCTGAGTTTCATCTGTCCAGTACATGTAAAGCTAAAGCTACTTCATGAATACTCAAGTGCAGTTTCTAATTTGTGAAGTCAAATGTTGTTCTGAAACAATTTCTCTGGAATGTATGGTTTCTTAAAATATTTTCAGCTGTACCTGCATATATTGCTCGGTGACGATATGAATGTTTACACAAAATACTTTCCTAAAGGTCACATTTTATGAAATCTCCAGATACTCTTCTTCAGAATGACTTGAATGAGAGAAGTACAGGCTTAAAGCTGTTCAGACTTTCCTTAGCTTTGGTACACAGAAGATTTTATCTATGCAAAGTGTCTAGAACTGTAATTATTTTTATTTTTTAAATGAAAACCAGATAAGGAAATGATGTGGATAAAGATACAGCAGAACAAATTCCTTGCCTCGTAAGGCAAACCCTGATGCTGTTGTTACAAAGAGTCAATACTCTCTTCTTTTATCCTTATTTTTTAATTTACTTCTCCCTCTTCCTATGAAATTAAATTCAAAATAAACTCGTGTTGTGTGTTTCCTTTTCAGGAGATAAATGCAAACCTACTGAATACAGCAAAGTGAAAAATATGTTATTGGATCTTCAAAATCAGAGATATGCTGCTCAATCCAAAGATAGAAACGTTGGTGAGAAAATGGCTTTAAGGAAATTGCTCGTAGATCAGATGTTTCATTATTTTGATTCTGACAGCAATGGACTTGTGGACACAAATGAATTGTCTCAGGTAAGATTTAGATTTGTTTCTATTAGCCCAGAAGCTGTTCAATTGCTACTGTCCAGATGTATGGAATAATATGTCTCAGGATGCTTTCACTTTAGAAAGTATATGTGTATCTCTGAGGTGGAAAACTTCATTCAGATTTTCTTGGAAAATTTTCATTATTCAGAAATTGTGATAATTATTGAGAAATTTGAATACAATTACTTTAAACATACATGAGGAGGGGCAGAATGTATTACAGGTTGCTTTGTCCGTTAAATATTCCGTTGTCCACTGTGTACTCTTGAAGTCTAAATGTATTTTTGGAGTTAAAAAAACAAACAAAAAAACGAAACATAAAAACCAGAACAGTATTTCAAAGCAATTCAATAATACTAATTGAGCTTTTACTGTGTTTCTAATCAGCAAGCTTTATTAATTAATTGCAGGTTTAGACCAATAATGGTTGCACCAGTAAGCATGACAGCAGTAGCTATCGTTTACCTAAGAATGTTAAGTCTCTGATGAATGTTGTCATGGGAAATGTATTTTGATTGACTCTACAGTATCAAAGTTTACTTACGAGAAACTCTCCCAAAACCCATCAAATTTGAAACAGTGAATACTAGGCAGCCACTAAAAAACCTATTTTCCTGAATGGAGGCTGCATTATAAATCGTAATAGTGTGCTTGGTTCTGATGTATATCTGGGGACAGGGTAGCTCTGTGTTCTCAAGGTTCTGGCTGATGGCTTATTGAACGTGAGTGAGCAGTGTGCCCTGGCAGCCAAAAGACCCAACCTTACTCTGGGCAGCATCAGACCCAGCACTGCCATTCAGGTGAGGGATGGGTTGTTCTGCTCCATGCAGCCTCATCTCAAACACTGTGTACAGTTTTGGAGTACCACAATATAAAGACCACAAATGTAGTAAAGGGTCTAGAGGATGATTTATGAGGGACAGCTGAGGGTTTGCTCAGCCTAGAGCAGAGGAGCTGAGGAGAGCCCTTATAGTGGTTCCACAGAGGGAGTGAAGGGCAGCGGTGAGTTCTGCTTTCTGTGACAGCAACAGGACCCAAGGGAACAGCATGGAGCTGTGTCAGGGAGGATCAGGAGAGGAGTTAAGAAAAGGTTCTTCATCAGAGGGCAGTGGCCATGTTCCCGAGCTACCAGAGTTCAAGTAGTGTTTTGACACTGCTCTAAGAAAGATACAGGGTTTGAATTGGGTGGTTCTGTATGGAGCCTTGTGCTAGACTTGTGGAGATGTGTTTTCAGGATGTTTTTCAAAATCTTTTGGAACTTCTGCTATTAAGTGAATTTGGTGCCTTCATACGTTTTACAAATGGTACTTACTGTACTGCATAAGTACATACCATACAAAGTATATACAAAGTATATACAATATACATACAAAGTATACAGTCTCAGGTATAGCTGTACGATTTACGTGTACTACTTGTATACAACTGAAACAAAGCATGCTAGAATTTAGTGTGTTGGTTGATAGTATAAATAAACTGAATTTTAGATTCTTTTCTGTTTTACCATTTTGAAAGTATCTTTTTTTCTTGCCATAGCCCCCATGTAATTACTGAAAAATAACTTCTTTCACTACTACAACATCATTATCTATCAATGTACCATGATCTTTTCATTAGAGGAGCAGGACTAAAGTACTACATACATTGCTCCAAAAGTAATGCGTCCTATTTATTTCTTCGGAAACTGCATCATGTACAAAAAGCACAATAACTCCATTTGGTGAAGCAAATTCTCAGCTATAAAATGCTATTTTTTCAAAGTAGTCTTCGTTAGCTATTTATTTTCATCAGTGATGAACAAGAGCCTGGGTGCTGTACTCATAAACATCTGTACCAGTGGAGGTGACTTGCTGTCTCCCACCTCTTCATAGTGCTCCTATTGCTGAATGTCAGTGGGTGCCACTTTTTTTCTGCATGGAGGAATTCAGTGACCCACCTGTGCATTGTATGCACTTTCATGTCAGATACCATTATGTCAGACTTATGCTCTGCTGCTAACTGTTGCATGGCAACAACATGTAACAGAATACTGGTGGAAAGATGTGACTCCTACTGCAATACCACTAGCATTGACATATGACATCATGGGCCAACATAATAAAATAGAGGGCAAGTTATTCTCTAAGTAGCCATCATAGCATTGAAGGTCAATAGAAAAAATGTTTTTGCAGAGTTTCCAAATGTTTATGAAGTTACAGAAATTTAATTGCACTATATACACTTCTCTTTTATTGCTTTCTTGCTGTCAAACATAGATTAAAAAAATCTTCCATTGTGGTATTTTCAACCATGCTATATGTTATTTACATATAATATAAATATTTTTTTCCATATGTGTCTCTTTTGTAGAAATGATTTTTAGTAACAATGGTAAAGCAACACTTTTTTCATATGCATAGAGAAAAGAAGACAGCTGTCTTTAACTCTGGTCACAGAGCTTTTTGTTAAAATTCATAGCAGAACATCGAATTATCTGATCCGAAGAATAACAAATAACAAAATGAAATAATTGTTAATACTGTGTGGTTTATTTTGATGAGTCATAAAGAATAACACGTTGACCCCAGAACAAGTTCTTTAGTCAGTTTGAATAGAGAAAAAAAAAAAAAATGGTGCACGTTTCACTTGAAGCCTTCTTGACAGCAGAAGCATCATCTGAGAACCTCTGTCTTCCTTACCTAAGACAAAGTGGGGAACAGTAAGTCATCTTGGTTATCCAGAATAGTGTGTAGTCTTGCAGTTAAGCACCAGCTCTCGTATAATCTCAGCAGGTGTAAATTTTATCTTTTGTCTGATTGTTTAGTCTGCATAATTGTGGTGAATGGAACATATGACTCAGATCTAAATAAAGATTCAGAACAAGAAACCAAATTACAAGGACTTGGTGTAGGATCTTTAGTTGAAAACTCTGGTTTTCAGACCATTGGTTGTGCCTCTTGAAAGCTTGGCTTGTCGATTCTGCTGAGTTCAACCAACTGAATGCTTTGTTTTTTTTATTACCCAGTGTCAAGTCAAATTAGATTGCTGCTTTCTTCCCTCCCTTATGTATGTAGTAGCCATACGTATTTCTGAAAATTAAAATTGTTGTGAGAAGGAGAAAAGGAACAAGAAGTCCCAGTCTGGAAGTTGACTGAACTGCAGAGTGAGAAAGTTTCCTCGCGCTGAAAAAGTGATGATTAATTTTCTTGGAAAGATAATTATATTTTACCATGTATGTGCGCATTTCTCTCTGTGTGGGGGAGAAAATGGTCTTGGTACTGCCCTAAGACTGGATAGGAGTCTTTGCTTCACTCAGAAATACTATCATAAACAGAACAGTCTTTCAGTTTTCCTCACAGTCAAAATAGGGCAGTCTGAATGACCTGTAGGTGATATCAGAGGTCCCTTCCAACCACAGTGATGTTGTGAATACTACTTGTCTGCACTTAAAATATAATCATCTTCAGAGATTATCGAAAGTATTTTTTTATTTTAGGAAAAAAAAAAAAAAAAAAAGGAAAGATCCTGAAGTTATTTTTTGTTCAAATGAATATTGAACAACAACTTCACTTTTTAATGCTCTAAATTTCATCTCCTCTATTTTCATAGAATTGTAAAATCATTAGATTTGGAAGGGTTGTTAAAGTCCATCTAGTCCGACTGCCTTGAAATGAACAGGAACACCTACAGTTACATCAGGTTTCTGAATCCTGTCCAGCCTGCCTTACGTGTCTCCAAGGATGGAGGCATCCACCATCTCTCTGGCAACCTATTTCAGTTCCTCACCACTCTCATTGTAAACAAAGAAACAAAAACAACTTCTACTCACTCTAAATCTCCCTTTTTTAGTTTAGTTTAGTTTGAAACCATTTCTCCTTGTCTAACAATAATAGATGCTGCTAGAGCCTCTGTCCCTTTCCTTCTTATAAGCCTCTCTTTAGATACTGAAAAGTTATCAGGTCTCCCCAGAGCCACCTTTTCTCCTGGCTGAACAGCCCCAGTTCTCTCAGGCTGTCCTTGTGAAGATCATTTTGCTTTGCAATGAGTGCAAATTCTCTCACTTTCTTTAACACATGTCCATCTAGCTTTACTCCCTAATGTAAAATTGAGGGTAATCAGAGTCTTGAAATGAAGGCGCCAGTACTACAAATGTATTTAAATTATTTTTGATCTGAAATTATAAAGTTATTGCCTTAGAATATTGATGGAAGGGAAAACAATTCTACACTTCAGAAAAAGTAACACAGTTATTTTTTAATTAAAAAAAAATGCTGTTTCAAGTCTGAAAAAGTTTAAAACATACGCTTTAATGTTAAGCACTACACTTCAGTGTTGCAGACTGTTATTTATTATCTTTCATTCAGACAGTTCTGACATCTGACTGGGGCTTTTTCATGGCTCTGTAATCTATCGTAAAACTAGCTCAGAAACAATTCTTGCTTCATTACACAGTGTAAATGTCAGGCAAGGTAGTCTACAATAAAATTTTGTGAACATTCATTTTTAAATTTTTATTTTTTTGTTTGCATTTTAATAACGTTCTTTGAAAGAATTTAAATTAATCTAAAATAAAGTTGCTGATTCTTCTAGTTATCTATGAATATTTGTATTTATGCTGCTGCCAGGATAGTTTCTCCAGAGAGAACTGGGGAAAGACAGTAGCAGGTAGGACTGAAGCCAGAGGATTACAATCTGCTCCTGGTGTTTCTAGCTGGGTCGTACAAGTCTGTGACTAGGAAACTGAAAAATATCAAGACAGACTTCACAGCACTTGGGAATATGCTTGAGGGATCAGGTGTACAGGTAGTGTTCTACTCAATCCTTCCAACAGGAGGCTGGAATCTGGGCAGAAGAACAGATCAGTTGATGGAATAACTATGTGGATGGTGTGCTCAGGGTTTTGTTTTCTATGATCTAGGAACCATTTTTTATAAACTGGGAAGGTTGATGTAGGATGGGACACATCTGACCAGCAGGAGCAAGAATACATTAGGCAGCAAGCTGATGAGGCTCATCATCAGGACTTTAAACTAGATTTGATAAAGGAAGGGGATGTACTGCTAAGGTACAGAGGAGAATGCTGGGAACACCCTTGCTTTAGGAAACAGCAAGGGAAAACAACAGATTTGTCCCAGGGATTCTAGAATTATCATTTTAGAATAGTAAACCTTTTCTCCTTCTCATCAGTGAAATATATTGTCATCTTTACTTATGAACTAATGTCTGTAATTTTGAAGGCTTGGGTACATTTCTTTTGTTTACCAGCTTAACACAAAATGAATGAGATGGCCCAAAATATGTTGAAGACATCGAGGAGAATCTACAGGTCCTAGAATTTAAGGCTAATTTCCCTACTAGATTTTTTTATTTTTGAGAATGTGAGATGTTGTTCTTTTTTCTTCTCCAATAGACTTTTGTCAAGTGGAGCATCTGTACTTTCCCTATGAAAGTATCTATTGAACTGATACTACACTCAGCTGATAGCATTCCTTTAAAAACAGTGGGGGAAAAAAAATCAACAGCAACAAAATCATAGAGATTGATTTTTCTCATCTCTCTTAGTGTAAAGCATTTCAGTAGGCTTAGTGTAAGGCATTTTGATAGGTTTAATGTTACTTTTTTGGATCACTTCTATCTTGAAAAATCTAGCTTCTGCTAACTTGAACATCTAGCTTCTGAACATTAAATTTAATATGTGCAAAGGAAATCTAACTGTTCTAACGTGAGTTTCAACATTTGAATACAAACAAGTAGAAATTGCTTTTCTAACTTCAGTTACCTTGTTATGTTTCCAAAGATCATATTGCTACTGCTTGCTTAGGCTTCTGGGTGATCTTGGAATTTATGAGGCTGACTTAACCACAGCAAATCTTGAATCTTTTTAGATAAAATGCCTTCTGAAGTACATTTATCCTCATTTAGGTGTGGTCTAGATTCTTGTTTTTATAGTAACTACCTTATATTTGACTCTGTAACCACAGATCCTTCCTTGATAACATCTAACCATGTGATCCATTTCATTTTCTATGCGGCCCTATCCTTCTCCACATTACTAATCACTTCACCTGTATATGCCATCTGCCAATTTGGTTTTTGTATTTATTTTAAATGATCAAAATAGTCAGAATGAGTCACAAGACCTCCAAAATACTATTGAGTTCCTTATTGACACTTTTTTTTTTTTTTTTACTGATACATTTATTTAAGAAAAACGTATCTTTATTGATACTGCAGAGGTTGATTAATTTGTTCTTGTTTTCTTGTGATGATACTGTGTGTGAAATTAAAAATACATTCAAGAAGCTGTTAAGCTTAGCAATGTACCTTTGCAAATTACATCCCTAGAATAAGTGAAAGAAAATGGAAATGGGCTTGTCTGACAGGCTGTATTTCCTAGAAGTTGGTGTTTAAAAAAAAAAGTTGCAACACTTAGCAGTACAAAATATATCCAGCCTTCAGATGTGGATTCTGCTGTTTCTTTCTTGAACAGATTTTTTTTTTTTTTTTTTGTGCTGTCATAATATATCCCACCTTAAGGAATTTTACTGATAAGTGAACATCTGTTAAAAGGTTCTGTCAACAAGACAAATATGGTGAGTTAGGAACTCCCGAGAACAGTTAGTTTGATCCTGCTGATTTTAAAACAATAGTTATGTTTTCTGTTTGCTAATAACTTGGTAAGTAGACAGCTTTACCAAAGTCTTACACAGGTTATAATTTCATATCACAGCCAATCTGATCTAAATCCAGTTTTTCACTAAAACATGTAGTTCCAATTTTCTTTTTCAAAATCCAGATTGCCATATTCTAATGCCTGCTCTGGCCTGTGTCTCTTGTGATAGGTGGGGAAAAATCATACAAAACTCCACAGAGATGAGTTTTCCTTTCAGAGAATTAGGCCGCGTAATCCAATCACATCTAGAGGCTAGAAGTGGATGAATCTGCAACACTTGGAAGAGAAAATCACAATTAATGAAGACTAATTGTGATACAAAATCTCTTCTTGACTTTCTGAAACTTGACCTTACAGATCTTTCGGGGAGTTCTGAATATTGGTTAAAAGTGATTGAAATTTCTAAAGATGCACAAAGTATTTTGCAGTGTATAAACAAACACTGAATCTCATATCTGTAATCAAATGTTCAGCTTGCTAAAGATAAGAATTAAATGGCAGGAGAAATGATAGCTACCCACAGTATCATACTAGGGATTACCGCAATCATTTGGACTAACCATTCATCAACTATGAATGATTATTTCTATTTTTAAAATAAAATTGAACAAATTATTAGATGGAAAGCACCATGAGAGATTACGGCTCAAAAGATGGAATCTGATAATATTAATATACACCTTAAAATACAGGACAGTAGTTGTGAGTGTTGGCGGATTTTATTGCCTCATGTGATGTGATGTTAAATCCTTGTTTGTACAACTGAAGCTAATGGGAGTGAGTGTTTTAACCAATTTTAGACCAGATTTTATGAAAAAACAAGCAAAGCAGCAGTGTTTCTCATCCTCCAAGTGTTGCATTTCCATGAACCAGTTGTGATTTTAACTACATTTCAAGACTTGAAAGCTCAGATTTCAATCACAGTAAAAGATGCAACAGTATGTGTTGAATACTTGAGTCTTTTGTACTTAAAGAAAGGCTTTTAAAACGTTAGGAGTAGCTGGCACTAATGTTCAGGTAGCATTGTGTGCCTCTGTAATTAATAACAACTAAATGTTGCTTTGTGTTAGTTCTTATCTTTGTGAATGGTTTTCATAATTGCTCATGTGCTAACAAGGTTGCCATCTTTTTATAAAGTGTTTATGTTAGCGTACAGAAAATAACTTGCTGAAGGAAAACATATTTGTCCTTTCTCTTCTCTGTAATACTCCTATTGTTCTCTTTCATATGTTTAGACATTTTGTATTTATGTGAATAATAACTGAATCCATTCTTTTCTATTCCTGCTGATTCTTTTGTGGAATGACTTGAACAGAAAAGCATCTGTATTGCTTGATTTTTCAGGAACTATCATATAATGCAAATGCAGTAGTTCTCTAGTTTTGGGAGACAGGTAGAGGACAGGAGGAGTAATTATTTTACAAATGAATGAACTGTATTTGCTTTCATTTTTCTGTGAATGGTACAAAACTGTGCAGCCATTAGATGATTAGAAGAGTTGTATTAGCTTTGGTTCTTTCAGATATGAAAACATTTCTATGTGTGCTATCTAAAATTAAAATTCAGGATATCTTCACATACAAACATCTTAATACCTTGGATGATGTCCAGGTCTTTAAACATAAGCGGTGCACAAATTAAAGAACACTTCTCGTGGAGAAGTTCATTTGAGTGAAAAACTGGTAGCTATTAATTATGAATTGTTTACAAAGTGGATGTGCACCCATAATGAAACAGTGGTCTTTTCAGGTCAACTACTTTGTTAACAGGTCCTCGGAAAGATAATAGGCTTTTCAAAAGCCTCTAAGAAGCTGAAAAAATTAGCAGGGCAATTGGTGTTTATTTTAGTTAATCTTGAAAATGAGTGGTTTGGTGGTTTTTTGTTGTTTTTTTTTTTTTTTTTTTTGGTTAGGAATTACTGAGAAGAGAAAATCACGTGTTTTTGGGAAATTATCTTGTGGATATTCAAAATTTTCTAAATCACCGTTTGCGATCGTGAATAAGTAAAATCAGCTTTGTCATTTGTAGTTTCTCTACAGTGCTTCTGTATAGTCAGATTATATATATTTTCTACATGTTCTGAGTTTTTTTAATCTCAGAAAGTCTTTTTTAAAGATATAAACTTTAAAACTGCAATAAATAATTACAAAGTAACTGGAAAATCCCTGACTTCACACGGTTTCAGTTCTTTGCTTCACAGCAACCTTAAAATGATCTATTAAATGATTATTAGAAACAATTAATTATACTAGAGAACTCTAAGAGCCCAAATGTAATTTCATGGTTATAATTTTCTTGTCAGGTAATAAAACGGGATGAGCTTGGCAAGGATCTGTCTGACTGCTCTCTGTTCGATTTGCTGAAATATGATGATTATAATAGTGACAAGCACCTAGGTCTGGAAGAATTCTATAGAGCTTTTCGTAAGTACAAAGATTAGCCTATTCTTTTTTCAGTTTTCTTTCCCATCTCTTGCTTTGTCTTCCTAAAATGTCTTTTTTTTTTTAATTTTTAGATTTTCGTACATCAAAATGTTGTATTTAAACAGGCGTAATGTAGCAGTCATGATATTATAGAGAACTCTTTAACGAAGTCGATAAGGCATCTGTTTGTGTCCTTATTTCTGAGGGATTTTGGTAATGGAGAATTTGTAGATGATATTCCTTGATGCCGACTGCACTAAAAAAATCTTTGTTGTGCACAAGTGAAAACAAGTGCAGTCTTGACATTGTTATAGAAATGAAAATCGTAGCACGTTTCCCTACACCCTTTCTTATTGAGTGCTGGTAAAAGCAGTTGTGATAAACCAGCAACAAATGTACTGCTTTAATTGGTGCTTTAGGATTCAGAGGGGTGTACTGATTTTAATATGCTTCTGCTGGGTGCTTGTTCTCTGAATGCCAAAGGTGTCTGGGATAAGTGCTTGTAGTACATATGAACTTCTTAATGTATCCACTGGGATATGGATCAAAATGATATCGAAAAGAAGAAAGAAATGGGATGATTTCTAGTTCCTTTATTCAAGGTACATGTTCATTGCATTGTTTAAAAATAAAAGCTTGAAAAGCTTCCAGTTCATTGTGTGCCCAACAGCCAGAGGAATGTGAAATACCTTTAATGGCTGTAATTATGGCACAGTGTGTGCTCTTTCAATAAAAGAAAAAGATTAGCTCTAGTTCCACTGCATTTGGTCTTCAGAGATCTTGAATTTAGTCATTCTAATCCACATCAAAAGTATTAACAAAAATTATGTATTGCTTTGAAAGTACACCTAGTGAAACAAAAGGAAAATTAAATGGCAGCCTTCTGGTTATTAGGCTACTACTCTTACAGCAAAACAAGCTGAAATCAAGTACTCCACACAGGCCAAGCCAAACTCAAAGTGAGTATGACAGCTCCAGTCCAGAGGTGTGAGATGTGACCTGCTGTTCAGCAATGGCAAATTGTGTGTTGGTGAATACAAAGAATTAGTATGGGTGGTGAGCAGCAGTCATGCAAGTAGCACTCCATCACATTTTCCGTAATTTAAGTGCCTACTAAGTTAAAATCAAACTAAGAGTCAAACTCTATTTTTCTTTAATAGAATGTAGGAATGCAGAACAGATTTATTCCAAACAAAATAAAAACTTTTCCTTCTTCAGAATTTTCTTATTTCACTGTTTCGATTTGGTGTCCTAAAATATTATGATGTTATGGTAGCATGCGTTGTGATTGTGAAATTATTATTATTTTTCACTGTGTGATGATTTTTTACCTCTTCTGATGTTTTTAAATGTGTAGAAGAAACGATCCAAGTGATCAAAATATGGCCAATTTTTTAAAAAGTACTTTTCATAACTACCTCTTGAGGTCTTATAACTGAGCAGTAGCATTGGCAGGGAATAATTTTTGAATTGTTTTTTTTTTTTTAAAAAAAAAGAAGTTTAAAAGATACATTACTCTAAATTAAAAATGCTTGAACCATAATTGTTTTTTTTTACCCATTCCACAGTTCTTTATTCCTTGAGCTGATAGTATGTGTCTGTCTGTTTTTTCATTTTTCATTTCCAAATTTTCAATCTATTTTTAAATACAGTGTAGTACCTTATATTTCCAGTGGGTTTGCCTCTATACCTCTTAGCAGTAGCATGATAGATTTGATAACTGTTGAACTCCTCTCATTCTCTTTAAAGTTTGTCTGCCTAACAGCTGGAACAAAAGTTATTCATATTTATGCTGAAGAGCAATAAAGAAAATTGGGGTTCATACAGCTGAAGAAATGGCTCCTATACAAAAATGCAGTGCAGAATTAAGTTTCTTTGTTTGCTTGTTTTTCCCATCTTTAACGAGTTGCTTATTTAGGTAAGAAAAGGGAATGGAAGAAAGAGAAGGAAGGAATTTTTTTTCAGTCTGTTGTACAAGGCAGTTAAATGGGCACAGAAATACAAGCACTGTGTCATGGAAAAGGAGGTGGGATATCAGTCACAGGCCCACAGTCTGTAGTAATTCCTAAATCATTTTTCAAGGATGCTTTAGAAGACAGCCTTGTAGCTAAAGCAACTAAAATATAAAACATACCATAAATAGTAAAATATGATTTTAAGACATTTGAATGTGGTGAAGGCTAAAGAGCCCTCATTTCTAAGTATGGGTTTTAAATGATATCTACCTTCAGCAGGAGAGTGCTACGCAGAAAGAATCAGAAAATTCAGAAGGCTGAAAAAGAACTGAGAGTAGGCACTAGTGGTATTTGTGTCATAAACTTGAGCTATAAAGGGGATGGCTATAATCAAGCATACCATGCGCATTTCTAGCTGTGATTTTTAACTGGCATTTAAAAACACTTGTATAGAATTTTGATCTTTGAACCCAGTTGGGTGAAATTAAAAGATATTGTCACTATTATGCTGACCAGCTTGCTCTCAAATTTTTTTTTTGCGTTCTAAAGGATTAGGCAATTACATTTCATTTAAATATGAATGCATATCTATGGGCTTTATTATCAGTACTGCCACACTAGCACTTGCAGGTGAGAAATCTTTTTTCATTGACATACTTAATTAGAAATCTTTCTGTCATCTAAGGACTGTAAATTTAGAATCAAACACAGTTGTAAATTTTACTGCTGCATTGTTTGTCACAGACAACAGGAAGTTTGTTTTTTTCTGGTAGAAACTAACTCTCCTTAAGAGCAAATTAAATCATTGACTGTTGTATTTATATATGTATACACATTTTTATATGGTATATACGTATCTGTGTGGTATATGTATAATTGCATATATTCTGTGAATTATTTTTGTCAATCTGTTTTTGTTTGCAAAATGAGTAAGGGAGATAGGCGGGATAACTCGAGATAAAAATATAAGCAGTGGTGTAATAATTCCTCTAATAATCCCTCTCTCCTTCAGAAAATCAGATGTTGAGGCACTAATAAAGAAGGGAAATACTTAAGAGTGTGAAATGCCTTTGAAGTACGCACTGAAGTCCCAGTCTGCAAAATGTTACAAGAATTTGAAAGTGCTTACTGGCTTGTGTAGTGTTTTGCAGACAAGTAAGCCTGACGTGGCTTTTGTGTTATCAGCTGCTTTCATATATATCATGAGCTTGTTTTTGTTGCTATGGCGTATACCCACTAGATATATTTACTAGATGTAACAAGTTGTATAAAATAGAGCATACAGAAAGGTACTTGATAGTTTTTTTCCATTTGTATAATTAAAGTGGGATGTATAGATCTCTGTACATCTTACAATCATGGGACTGAAGGGAATCATCTTGAACAATCAGGTCAATCTTCCACTGCTCCAGCTGCACAATGTAAAATTGTCTTCTGAGAGTTATCCAGCTCCATCTTAGCATTTTATTTTGTCGGTTTGTTTTCCTTCACCACATAGTCCCAAATTTTATATAAGAGATTTTATATAAGAGAACGTGGTTTTAGTTTTAGTCAGAGCAAGATGTATTTAACCTTGTCTGAAAGGGTGGCTGGAAGCATAGGAGGCTGAAGCCAAACAAAAGGGAGAAGTAGAGGATACAGATTTGTGAATGCTTTTTCTTCTGAAAAATAAAACTCATCTGATGCACTTTTTCGAGGACCTTCTGTTTTTCTCTGCTATGAAGATGATATTGTGTTTATTGCCTGTCTTCTGTTGCTCTTTTCTAAAATTAATATTTTCTCCCTTATAGTTCCTTATAAAATGAAATTTCAAAGCAGGTACTTCAGGTGGCCTTTATAGTGGCTTACAAAATCTCGAGGGATACTAGAAGTAAGTAAATAGCTTATTCTCACTCAGTGCAGTGCAGATGTGTATGTTGGCCCTTCTGTGATCACAGTAGAAAGAATGATGGTAATTTAAATATTTATGAATAGACCTGATTGAATAAAACAAATAGAAATTACAAGTTTATGGGAAATAAGTGCTTTTCATTGGTCCTTTATAATAATAGAACTAAATGCTTTAACAACTCATAGTCTGTATAAAATGAAAAAAAAGTGGTGTTTGCCAAAATTTTTTAGATTAATGTTAGAACTATTTTTATCTTACGTGCCAAAAAGGGGCCATGTAATGAAAGTCTGAAAAAGAGGAGGCTCAGGGGAAACCTTATTTTTCCCTACAGATACCTGAAGGGAGCTTGTGGAGAGATGGGCATCGACCTTTTCTCCCGTGTAACTGTGCACAGGACTAGAGAGAATGGCCTCAATTTGTGCCAGTTGTGTTTCAGGTTGAACATTAGGAAATACTGCTTCGAGAGATTGATCAGGCACTGGAATGGGCTGCTCAGGGAGGTGCTGGGGTCAGTGTGTTTCTGGAGGTGTTCAAAAAATGTTTAGATGTTGTACTAATGGACATGGTTTAGTTGGAGATATTGGTGATAGGTAGACTGTTGGGCTGAATGATCTTGGAGGTCTTTTCCAGCTTTTTTATGTACTTGCTATTGCTGTATGTATTTAAAAGTACCTTAAAAGCGTTATTCAGGTCACAAATACCAAGTTGAGATCTTATTGCTGGGGTAATGTTTGTGAATCTGTATGTAAACCTTCAATAACGACTGTTATTAGTTGGTCAGGGATGGTGATGCAAAAATGCCATTCACTGTAGCTTTTGGGTGAATCTGTGACCAGTGCATAATATGAATGTCAAACCTTGTGCTTTGTTTTGTGTTGAATTATATAGAAAGTTAAACAGCAAGAAGTATCCATAAATGCAAGACTTAGTTAAGAATTATTATCAGGTAGTCTAATTCCTGAAAATTGTTTTTAAAATTGCACTGCTCTACTTAACATAGTTTCACTCTTAATTTATTCTGTCAGCTACAATTATTGCAGGTGCTTGTTCCAAAATCCTTTTTTGAAACGTGTATCTCTTTCCAAAGAAAAAGACCAGAACTTACCGCTCCCTTTTGTCCCCTCTCCTCTCTCTCCCCCCAAAAAGAAATCTAA